GAAAAAAACTTATTTCAGACTTAGTTTTTCATTTGTGCCTGTCATTCTCTTCTGATTCTTTGTTAGAGATTGAGCAATCTTTTTCTTTGTTTTGGTTTGTGGAGACTGGTTAATTCAGTTGATTTCTTTCTCTATATAACTTCTGCAAAGCAGGCCTACAGTGTTCATATAAAAAAAGAATGTTGTCTCTGCGTATATGTTTAATCAAGAATTGTGATGTGATATGGGTTATTGATTTCTGTCAGTTTTCTCTCTTTAAAAACTCCAATTTTGACTACCCAAAAAATTACAATGAGAGATTGAGTTGCATATATAGACTAAGAAATATAGGAATTGAATGGAATGGAGATGTATGCATTACTCTGGTACATATCTGGTTGGGTTAACTAACATATTAAGTTGAAAATTGTGAGTTTAATTGCTTGAAAATTGTGGGTTTAAGCTTCCACTTCAAGCCCTTAGAGAGGTATTTTAAATGGTCTTATATTGTAATTAAGTATTAGGTTTGTTGACTGTATATGTAGTTTGGTTTTTTTGGATTGTGAATTTATTATATGATCTGAGCTATATGATTCTTTTGGTTTGTTTTGGTGATTCAAATTGTGACAGAAGGGTTACTAGTTGTTTGGTCTTATTTGTGGAACCAGTAATTATAATTGAATTTTCAATGAGTTCCTCCTTTGAATTATGAAATTGTTACAATTGTGACCTCACGCAAGCTGCAAAGGTTTGCTTCTTGGTCTTGCTAAATTTTAATTTGTGATGTTTACTGCAATGCTATTTTTTGTGGCTATCCATCAATCCATTATGGAACTGATATTTTATAAGTTAATACCCACAAATTTATCGCATTTATTAGTCATTTTTTGGTTTGCTATTTTTTTTTAGGTGGAAGAGTTTAGTGACGAGTTTGATGCTACAAGAAGCACTGGCTATCATCAAAGAACATATGTGCAATATAGTTGCAATACCTCTGTTGCAGATGGCATGGAAATTTTGTGCATCTCTGAAATACCGAAAATTGTGAATATGAAATAGAAATCTTTTCAATACATAATGGCTTCTTTACAGATTTGTCGAGTTGAATTGAGTTGGTTCATATGTTCCGCTAGTCATTTTCAGTTGTCGAGTTGGTTCATATGTTCTGCCATTTCTAGCCCCTCTTTTCATTGCTAGGCAATGGTGGAGCAAACTGTGTCCATAGTGTGGTTCAGCCCTGTAGATGTTGCCTCAAGCAAGATACTCCTCTTACTTTTCATGAAATTCATTTCTTTCTCGACTTCAAATATTGTACAATGAAAGATCTAAGTAAACATGAAGTGAGAAGGTTAATCTTTCATATAATAACCAAAAATGAGGCAAGTTATTCAGAACACAAGCTTAATTGAACAGGATTAACCCAATTTTAAATTAACAAAGGTCGGGAAAAAAAAAAAATCAATCACGACCATAATTTACAGCAATGTGCTCTCAACTCACGCAACCATGCTAGAGTCTATTTAGCAAAGAAGCAGAAATAATCAGACATTATGATATGCTAAGAGGCAACAACAAAATTGGAAGCAAGCCTCAAATCAGACATAATCGGACATTGCTGCAGCTGGTATTTGTGCATCACCATGCTATTTGTGAAGGCCCTCTACAACATAAATGTAAAACGGGGTGTGCCAATGTTTTGTCCCCTTCTTGAAGTTTCCTCCCTTGCTAAGTAGTTCTTCCCTAGTAAGGTTTAGGTATTTTTAGCCACGGATTAGGAACATCTTCTCTCAGCCATTGCCATCTACAGGAGAGTATGTAAAAAGTTTCAGAAAAAGAACTGCTAGAAAGATGAGTAAGTACTAGAAATATGATTGGATCATTAAAAGCACAAAGCATATAGTGATTTCATTTGAAATGGACTGATGCCTCAGATCAAATGAAATATATGAGGAGTAGTTGCTTACATTTATCCATTCATCATTTGGATTGATGTCCACAGGTTTCATAATCATGATACCAACTCATTCATTACATAATAATCATGAAATTATAAAAATAAAATTGGGAAAAAAATCAAATAAAAATCTGTCGAAGATGAAACACATATCTGTATCATGAATCGCTCAATCCTAGAACCAGAAAAATGCATCTCGACTGTGAGCCTTCCAAACTCTTAAAGCCTTAATAGAAAATCACACCCATTATCCCTAACAGAATGCCTTAAAGTAGCCCTAGCTTCACCAGGCTTCCCCTCTTTCCTTTTGTCCATCTCTTGGGCCTGACAGAAAAAATGCATACATCATAACGAAAGGAAGAAGGAAAAAACAGCAAACCAAGCCTAAATTTATCCTAACCTTCCACTGAAACTGATCATCCAACATGCTTCTTTGTGCTTCTATCAGCTTCCCAACATTTTTCCATATGTCATCACCTGAAAAATAATTTCATCAAACAATCCAAGCAGGAAGGATAAACAATAATAACAAGATGCACCCCAATAAAAGCAACAGATGAATATCCCCTTTTTTATGCATATATAATGCTCTTCTAATGACTATCCATCCATATTGTTGAGCTTTTTTCAAAAAACATAATTTACTACACAATAAGTTCAACAAAATGCAAGGCTAAGCAAACAAGTGAAAAGTGGCAAATTTCATTTAAATATCTCACTAGATCAGTCTACAATAAGTGTATGACATCACAACTCACCAAGAATCTTATAACCAGTAGCTAGAGTATTTAAAGCCGCCCTCCTAGTTTCACCATTTCGTACAGCTGTTAAACTTGCAACAATTTGCAAGCATTTTAGCTGTCCAACTATCTGTGGAAAGGGGTTTATCATTATCAAAAAAAAAACCCATCAATTATAGAAATCTAGCAAACCATAGCAAAATCTATGGTTTACTTTGGTACTTATTTCTCAACAAGTATGCAGTCCACGAAAATAGGTGGGATTTAAAGCAACATCCTAGAGAACGAACATGGACCGACATGCAGTCTCTAAAAACAGTGAGACATCAGTGCAGCATTCAAACGAAAATTTGATCACAGTAAATTCATCACAAAACTAAAAGTAAAGAAAATATCTCCTCTCAAAACATAAAACTTTGTTGTCTGCCATGAATCAAGGGTTTGTTTATGAAAAAACTAGTGACATAAGAGCATCGAACTTCATTTTCCCTTCTCTTTTACCCCCTTAAGTTAACAAGGCTTTAAGATATTTCCTTCCACACCTTGTCTATCCCAAATGTACCAGTTTCATCCCCAGCCACTTTAATCCCTCACCATCAAGCATACCAATACATATAAAGAGGGATATAACTTGATACAGACGATATAGCAAAATCTTGATAAAACAAAGAAAAAAAAATACAAGAAGCGCAAACAACCAACCCAACAATAGCAATGCATATATCCATCTAATATTATATTTTGCTAGTTAAGAATTTTAAACAATCCCTTGAAGAATTCAACTTTTGTACACACAAAAGCATATTACTATAACATTATTCCAACAACCCTAAACAATAAGCAGTATAATCCCTTCCAAATTTTGTTAGAAAAAAGCATCCCTCATATTTGTTTGTAAGCACAAAAAAACCATAATACAACGCATCAACGTAACAGAAAGAAGTTTATCCAGTCGAACACATACCCAACCACAAGCACGCACGAATACCCACGCACAAAATCTCTCTTTTTAATTGTATATAATGAATATATTTGGTGTATAAACCCAACCCATTACTCGCCAAACCTAATTCATATATCCCAACACTAATTCAAATAAAGCCCATAAATTTCCACAATTCTCTCAGTCTACCACCTTGTCAAAATCATTCAACTAAACCACTTCCATCAAATTCAAAAACACATAACATATAAAATCACATCCACACACATACATACATATGGAATAGATATACTGACCAGTAGGGATACTTGGGTTCCTCTCTTACCTTTCTTCTTAGTAGAATCTGGAACAAAGAACAGGTTTTAATGGCTGATCTGATTTTGAGTTGCGCTAGGGTTTGAATTGAAGGGTTAAGCGTCGGATTAGCATCATTTAAATTGATTTAGGGCAAAAATCGATTTTGGGCAAAAAATATTTAGGGCAAATATGGAGAATGGAGAAACTGCTCAGTCGATAGTGGAGGTTGTGGTCAGTCTCTTTGTTAAAGTCGCTGGTGGAGCATTGTGCACGCTGGTGGAGGCTGTGGTCGCTGGTGGAAGTCACTGGTCGCTGGTGGTGGCTTTGTTGAAGTCGCTGATTGGAGCTCATCGGAGTCTTGTCTGACTAAGACTGGTTGAGGAGGAGCAGAGCTAAGTGGTCTGAAATTAATTTAAGCAGGAGTAGCCTGTGATATGTGAAATTTAAGGGATATGACAATAAAATTGTCATCGTAAATGACGTTTTTAAAAACGTTATCACAAATGACGTTTTAACTCTTTTATTTTTTTTAACTTCTGTTAAGCATCGTTTAAAATTCTTGTTACAAAAAGTCGTTAGGAATGATAATTTTAAAAACGTCATTCTTAATAACTTTTTTGGAAAAAAAAAAAAACTATGTTGAAATTGTCATTCTAAATGACATTTTTAGGCGAAAATGTGTCATTTCAAATGACATTTTTAAAAAAGATTGAGTTTGAGAATTAAGTTTAAAAGTGATTGGGTTATGGAATTATCTTCTGAGAGGGCATAGGTTTAGGGGAAACCTCGTTCAATTGAGATCCTCTCTGATCTTTACTTTCTAAAAACCTTCTCCTATACCCGTAGTCAACCCATATCAAATTAATATAGACTTATTTTTTTAACTAAAGAGACAAATTCATATTTAAATTTTTAATAATGAGATTTTATTTTTTTTAAATCTAATGATTATTTTTATTCTCATTTAAATGACAGATAGGCCTATATTTCTTGGTTTTAATAGGATTTCTTGTAAGCGTTATTTCTATCTACTATTATCTAATATTTAAAAATAATCAAGTTATTAATAAATGAACAAAACGACACGAGTAAAAATTCGTCAATTGTTGAAATATGTCGAGGTGCTCCCCCTAGTCTTCGAGTGTCATCCAATCCATAAGCTGCAAGGCAAAAAGAGGTTAGAGGGACCCTTTGCGTTGTGCCAGGAGAGGCCCCTCCAATGCCTAAGTTAGTATTGCGATCCATACTGAATAGACGAGTGTATAAACTAGAATCATAACATAAGTGTGTGTGTGTGAAGTATAGAGCCGAGGTGCTCTTCCTTCAGGGCCCCCTCTTTCTTGGGTCTTCACCCATATATATAGAGAGAGAGGATTAGAGAGCTACTTATTGTGCAGCTGTCTAGGTAGGGAGATAGGCATGGCTAGCCTACTAAAAACACTCATTACTTGTCATTATTTATTGTAACGGGCCCTACTTGTAATATATGTCAATTCCTTCATTGGGAGTGGGCTGGTGAACCCACTTGACAAAAATGTCCTGCCAAAAACTAAGAAATAACCTGACTACGTTTTCTTGTTTGAAATTTTAGGTCTAGTCTTCACTAGTATTTGTTTTTTGCTCATCCACTACGTTTTTTCTTTTAATTTCTTCCCTCACTCGGTCAAACTGTTTGAGGTCGATGGTGCATTCGATAAGCTCTTTTGGTATTCACGAAAGTTCCTATGCGATCCATTTCTTTTCTTCTTCAATTGATCATAGTTATACTATTTTGTGACTCCCACATGGTATAACTGGGTTCCAAACCTCGCCTTGATAAAAAAGATATTGTTGTTACTTCACAGATTTCTTTAAGTTTGTCTCCATTTAACTTTGAGTTTGTATGAGTGAAAAGTGAATGGATGGAAATTAATGGATGAAAAGTAGGAGTTAAAAAGGAAAGATAGAGAGAAAAGACAAATGGATGGAAAGACAATCCCTCCCGCCTAAAACAGACAAAAATGGCAAAAAGTACATGAGCACGACATGGGGTCCACATCTTAATAACTAATTACCATTTAGTCATTTGGAGTTCATGTTACAAGTCAACATATTATTCATATTCTATCTGGATATCTTTGGTCTTTCAACATATTATTTATATTCTATCTGGACGTCTTTGGTCTTTCATTAGCAATGATGTTGCCACACCATAAGTTGGGTGAGGCCTTAGGGCCTGGGTGGGTAATGGTTGAGCCTATCCCACATCAGATAGTCTTAAGGGGTGTGTGTTTAAATGGATGTTATGGCCCTCACACTTTTAAGTGTGAGTGGTTATAGTTATCATATGTTCAAAAAAAAAATAAAAAATTAGCAATGATGTTACTTTATTTTTTTTCATACCAAATAAAATAATAACAAAATTATTTCTTCCACTTTTATATCCTTCTTATCAAATATAAATGATGAAAAAACTCTTTATTTCCTTCAAGGTTAAAAAACTTATGGATCATTTGGTAACGTTTTTGTTTTGACGTTTTCAAAAAAATTAAAAACAGAGACAAAAGTTGTCATTGTTTTTGTGGTGAACATTGAAAACAAAAACATGTTTAGGAGTCTTTGGGGGTGGCAAGATAACCCTCAAACAAATCCCTAAACTAATAAAGTGCAATATTGTTACTCAAGGCCAAAATCAACCCTAACCCAAAATTTTATTGAAAGAATATTACAATAAACAAAAGGGGAAAACCCCATTTACATTACACTTATGATTTTTATCCTTCAAAACATTCAATTAGCCTAGAAATTTGCACCAGGGCTCCTTTGAACTTCTCAAATCAGCACCCCTACCAAACTTTCAACAACTTCAAACTAACAAAGCTAAACCAAAATCATCAAAAACCACCACCTTTTTAGTTTGCAGAAAAGGCAACCTGCTCAGGTCCTGCACCATCCTCATCTGTACAATTGTAGCCAACACATTAGAGACAGAAAAATCCGAAGAAAATCCATTCAATACCGCTCTATTCGCAAGCCCATCAGCTACCGAATTAGCTTCCCTATAAACATGCCTCATCTTAAACTTCACCCTACTCAAAAGCCTCATAATTTGAGCAAGAATCCCCCACAAAGGCAATGACACGGTAAAATACCTTTTAAAGTATTGAAAAGCACCAAAGAGTCTCACTCAATATCAATATTATAAGCAAATAAGCCATATCTGTCCACCAACCTCAATCCATCTAAAAGAACTCTGAACTCAGCCTCTACATTCGAACAAACACCATAAGAAAAAGATGTCGCCAATACCATCCTTCCCCATTTATTTCTTAACTACTAATGGAATCCGAAAAATCAACCCCAACCCTTAGTGCTATTGAAATCTAATCTCACTCACACACACACAAATCAGACACATACATACACACAAAAATCAAACACACACAGAGAAATTAGACGCAGAAATCACACACACAGAGAGACCCACCCACACATCAGACACATAGAGACCCAAAAATCACAGAACACACACAAACACAGAAATTAGACACACATAGAAGCAATGATGGAGGCAGAAATCATACACTCGAGATTTGAGATCTCTTTGTTGCACAGACCAAGGTGAGAGAGAGAGAGATGTGATGAAGAGCCATAGAAGCAACGATTAAGGTAGAGATGGAGGCAGCGATAGAGAGGGACGCATCAATGGAGGCAGCGATGGAGAGGGATGCATCGATGAAGGCAACGAAGGAGAGAAAGACAGAGATGGAGAGAGAGGCAGTGAAGGAGAGAGAGAGAGGCAGATGGAGGCGCTCGTTTGATATAGAGAGAGGAGAGAGAGAAGCGATGGAGAGGAGAGAGAGGTGATGAAATGAGTTTTTATATTTCAATAAATTTTTTTTTATTTTACTGCTAAGAGGACTCGAAGTCTG